TACGCATGGAAGTGCCTGCAGAAACATACGACAGAATTTGAGTTTTTTGGTTCAGTTTCTTGTTTTTTATGATTAAATAAAAGGAAACTTCTCCGTATCTGAGTGGAACAGTTATTCATAAACTATTTTTCTATTCGGTCAGTTAGTTGTCCACCTTAGTCCAGTTTTGCTCTATGATTCGAACTCTGGCATTGAAAGATGTATTTCTACAAAATTTAAAGCGGCTGTTGACAACATTTGGTGGCATTTTGAGGAATAGATATTCAAAGTATTGTTAAAAATTGTTTATTGCTTGTCATGGGGGTTCGCTAGGCTACCAATGGTTTGCCGGCTCTGGACATGCAAGTACTGCAGTTGGTCGGGAAACTGATAGGTATTACTAGGCTGTTGTGTAGAGTCAAACTACTTGTTTAAAAAGAAGGAACAAAGATGAATGTATATTAGTTTTTTTTTTGTATCTTCAAGACTTGATTTTACTTCAGTACGGATGAATGTGATTACAGTGGCGAAAAATGGATGTGTCTTATTCTCTTAGAGTGGGAAAAAAATTGGAGGGCGAAATGGTAACACGATCCTAATTTTTGCTCGTTATTCCGGGTTAAGTGAAGACGCTGTAGTTGTTTATTATCACCTTCAACGCAGAATTAGGTCTGAAATTGAAGGATGCAATTTTTAAGCGCCCAAATTACTGGTGAATTAAAATATTGAGATACCGGTATCATTTTTGGAAAGTAGCCGGATAGCGCGGAATGATTATTTCTTATCAATAAGTACATTCAGTAATTGGACCAAGGACGCTGAAATACAGATACCCCTTTCAACTGTATTTACACGCTGCAAGGATATACGCATAAATAAATAAATCTTTGTTTATTAATTTTCAACTAACAAACATTTTATGAACTCCAATTTTTTACTTCAGCAGTTTTTTAAAGGTGTGTTTGTTTTATATAAACTTTTTTATTTAAGGCTGTTGCTACTCCTTTATACTATTTCTCTAGCTTTGTAGCACCATCTTAAATAAACACATCAGTGTAGAGTTCTGGAATACTCTAAAAACAGTCAAAAGAAACAACCAAATGTTTTTTATGTATATTTCGTTAGTTATTACTGGGAAGGTTTTGCACATTTTTTTTCCTCAGCGTTTTATCTAGATGTTTTCAAACCGATCGTCCAAACTGTGTGTTACCGTCCTTCGGTTGTTTGCGCGGACATGCCATGCCACCCTGACTTCTCTAGCAGCTTTTATAGATGGCAAAATACACTGACTTCGTTAGTGGCGAAGCTTCAGAAAGCGATGACGAGTCGAGACGCTTGAACTCTACCGCTCGAGATTTGCAAGACGCGGAATCACAGCATGGAAGGTAGAATTCTATTTGTCTATAATACCTTACTGCTGTATCGTTGAGAGGGCTGTTCATTCGGAGCCGTTTTTTTGCAACCAGTATTTTCTTAAACTTTCAACGACATGGTACTTTTTTTTTGGTTGGAAGTGTATTTATAATGGTAGATGTCCGGTTGAGCAGATTCACTCGCTTGTTTTATGAAGGACTGATTTACACGGTTCTCAAAGCTTTAATGACAAAACATGCCTCCTGTAAAAGCTTTAGCTTTTGAATCAGCTGGTACTGCATTTAGGAAAACGTTTTTGGATTCGGGGTAGTTGTCTTTGAGTCTTTTGTAAAAAGACAAACTGAAGGAGATTTTTTTTTTACCTTCCTACCTTTTTTCGCTTTCTTTTACTTTTTTCACTTCATGGAAGAATTGGGATTTCTAATCAGTGCAGTTTGTTAATAGCAGGGAATTATTCCTGATGATTCAAAGAGAACAGTTTTAAAATTTGTGCACTAACCACCTCCTCAATTGCTCCCAAAACTAGCTACTTGCTAGGGACTTGTCTTGTCAACAACATGTCTATTTCAAAAAAAAATTTCTTTTGCTGAATTAATCTTATTTTTTTTGTGCACTGCTGTCATTTTCTTCTTTTATCATTTACAGGAATATGCACTGTCCGTAACATTTTAAATTTACTGTCATGTTGGCTCTTAATAGATTAAACAGTTTGCGGCAGATTGGTGGGGGCCTAATGTTTGTTACCAAGGGTTCGCAAGTTTTTGCTTTTCTAAGCCTTTCGATTCTGCTACATTCTACTCCAGTTGGAATGAACCTCGCGGTACCTTAACAGCCTTTCGGTTCTGTTCACAAGTTGTCCTTCCGCAGGGTCAAAGATTTGTTTTCAACTTGGCATGAAGTAAATCGTAATTGAGACTATCCTGAAAGCTTGTCGTTACAAAATCTAACGCATATCAGTTGCGATCAGCAATAATTTGAAGTCTATTTTGGCAAAATTTAATAATTTCAAAGGGTTCAAATTAACACCAGATTTTAAGAGAAAGAGGACACACTGCATAACTTTGCTTTTACATACGATAATTGGGTAAAAGGAGTCATATGGCGCATATATACGGGAAACGAGGGGGAAATCATTGACAAAGAGACTGTGGAAATGGATCCATTAGACTGCAGAAGTCTAGTTTTTTTGTAAAAATTCTCCCATTAGCAATACAGTTCATTTTTTTTATTTTAGAGAGTTAGAAGGGGGTCAAACGAACTCATTATAGAGTGGACTTTCCGAGCGAAACGGTGGCGGACAGAGTAACTTTGGCAGTTGACACTCGCTACCAGTGTTTCTTACTAAATTACTAGGGTAGCCACTTTGGTGGGGTTTTCTGCTTGGAAATTCTTTTAGGAGACGAAGAAAAATAGTTGAGGGATTTGGGAAGGGGAGAGGCACAAGAGAAGGTTGAGACAAACGGTGCTTTCAAGGAGATCCGGGAAGTTTTTCTTCTGAGTTCTTAGTTTTGTAATTTTAGCATAAATCTGGCACTCATTTGAAAGGATTTGTTAATTTCTGGAAATGAAAAGCTTATTTTTGTCATCTTTTTTTCTCTCAGTCTTCTGCTTTCGCTACATTTGTTGTTTATTTAATTCAAAATTTGTTTTCACTGTCAACTACTGCTTACTACCAGCCGCGCTGAGAACACAAACCTTTATCTGAAAACTATGTTGCACGATATTTTCGCAAGCGTTCGCACTGGAGGTCTATGCTTTTTATTTCGAGAGTGATCCTGTTTTGGTGAAAAACCTTCAGTATAGATGTCAGTTCGTGTAAGTCGTAGGACTCGCCTTAAAATGCTCTTCTCTCATGTTTTAGGCTAGTTGCAGCTTACAAGACTTTGATTTTATTTTTTTCAATAGTAGAAAACTTAAAAATATTTCCACAGTTCTTACATGTCTGTTATTCGAAAAATCCAGATCTGTCTAAATGGTATATAAGAAAAGTAGAAGCTCATGAGTATTTTAAAGATAGGGAGAAGGTACACACTAGCAAGTGCAACTATTCTGAGAGTAAATATTTTGTGAGAAAAGCTGTAGGGGCCTCTGTCCAAAACTTTGCCATTGGCCTCACATTGGAAGCTATAGGCTCAAATGCCAACTACAATGTACTTTGACGTACCTATCTCAAACTCTAAGGTAGGGTATTTCTCATAGTTCTCATAGTGGACATTTTCGAAAGAAGAGGGGAGGAGTAGACAGCTTTTAAACGTCAAAAAGTACTTTCTAGGGGAGGAGAGGAGCTGGGAACGGGTGGAAGACAACGCTATCCGTTACTTTCATAGGTGGACATCACTTTCGTCTTTTTAGTCGCAAGATCAGGAGAGTGACTAGGTAGTCATTCGAGAAGAAACCTTAAAAATGAACTTTTACATATATTACCTAACTAATTTAAATTAATTACCTGGGGAGCGGGAATGATGTAGTATGGGACATCAAGGTTAGAAAAGGCTATAAGCATGAATATATAAGTGAAGTGAAATAATAGGAGCTACAATAGGGGACAAGCTTAGGTTTTTGTACTAAAAGTTGTAGTCTATTGTACAAGGGGTTCGTTAAACGCTCTAACTTGGTAATTTCCAAACCCTCACTGCCTTTAAAGTCGCGGTAATCAGCGCACTTTGTTTTAATGTTTTTGAAGGCAAAAAGGTCGAATCTAATTTAAATTCTTTTCCCGATTTTTTGGAGGATATTACATTTCCTATGATATTTATTAGATGTTCAACAGTAGCTGAATCCGTAGAGGTCAATAATTATACGTGGTAAATTTTCATCCTGATAGGCTGGATTAAATGTATATTAGTGCTAAAATGATTTTTACAGCTATACGTTTTGGGTGGCATACTTGTTAAGTAATTACTAAAATTTTTTGAATATTGCGTGTACACCATAGTGTATTATTGGCGTCCTTGCAGTAAACTTGTTGCTCCCCGCTGTCTAAACCCTTGTTCTCGGCTGTTGTATGGAAGCACTTGAAGTGAACTACAAAAGTAGTAAAAAAACTAAAAGTTTTCAATATTTCTCAAACCTGGATGTGGTTCTAGAAATTTAGGTCATAAAACTTATATAGGCTCAAGTAAGTGCGTGATCTTTAAGCTGAGTTTTGGTTTCAAATTTGCAGTATACCGTTGGTTGGCTAACCGACATATGTTCTTTTAGTTAATTAACCATAGAATCAAGAGTTAGGGCAGGAACTACTTCTTTATTTGCAGATTAATAACCGTTAAAGCTAAGTGGACTGTTCCGGTTAACGAAGGCTTGAAAAAACGATGGGAATCGCTCTCCTTCTGCACAGCGAATTACATTACCAAAAAATCGATGAAATTTCAAGGAATTTCTAGCGTGAAAAAGGACGCTGCATACACTCGAACCATTGTTCAGGTATTTTTTTTCTAAGGCTATTCTACTACTTACAAACTTATGCTGGGTCGTCGCACACTGGAAGCCACACGTTCACGCAACTCAGATGTGCTTCATTTTGGGAATTATAGGCTTAAACGCAGGACTTGCGAAGTTATTATGAAAAAAAAACTTTTTTCTCAATTTTAAGAAGAATTTGAGAGGATTAATCTTGTTGATAGGAAGGGATGGTGAATTAAGGTCAACGATCTGAAAGCGGTAGTTTTAGATTAGAAGTCGTCATATTTCTCTGAACAATTAGCTGTTTTGACCTGACACTTGCGGAACTTTGCTGTAAAGGATAACATTGGGAGTAAGGAGACTGCTAGAAACATGTTTTTTAATGAAAGTTACAGAAAATTTGTCTTTTACAGGTTACCTGCTCCTTAATCTCTTCAAATGGATAATGGTTAATTATATTAGACGTTTTTTTCAAGCAATTGAAGGTCTGCTTCTGCGCAGAGCAAAGCACGACCGATCAAAAGGACTTTTTTATGTTTTGCCTTCGTTGAAAGATTTAATTTACATCTCCGCGCTGCGTAACAGGAACAACAGTTAAAATTGATGATAGTATCACGGATTTGTATGAAATGACTTCGCTCAATTTACTGCTCAATGATAGTGCTCTTTGGATATGAATACTTGACTTTTTGAACTTTTTACTATCGGTCCTGAGCTTCCATGCGGTATTCTAACGGCTAACTCGGTTTTGGACAGAAGTGCTTGTGACTTTGAGAAGCTGCGCAGAAGACGCTGGTGGTTGCTTCTAAATAGGTGGCATTTTCTCGGATTTAGGAAATTTTTCAGAGGAATAAAGATGCATTTTTCATCACAATTGTTTTTTTTTTGCATCTATTGCTTCCTGACGCTTATTTCTTTCAGTCTATTTTTGAAACTCTATATTCCATATAGGTTCTTTGCGATTTAGGTGATTTTGAAAGCTTATATATTTTTTTAAGTGGACCAAGTGGATTTGCTTTTTCACTTGGTTTTTTCTGAAGAAGAGGACACTGTTAACAGTAGATACAAGATCAATACTTCTGGAGACCAATTCAACAAATATGGCTAGTTTCCATGGCAAAACTCTTGCGCAGTCTGTTCAAAACCCCAATTGACTATAGATACTTTGCTATAACAAACATTTTTCAGACGTGAAGTTTTGTACGACACAACCTGCTAGGGTGACGCACACGCACTTAAGATCTGAGGGCATTTAAATAGATTTTTTAAAGATTAGGTCGCAGTCCCTTCAAATGTAAAGTTTGCACAGCGAAGTGAGCAGTGAGAATCGAGATTTCACGGAAAGTTTTGGAATCAAGTGGAAAACTAGGGGCGAAAATGACACAAACTAGAGCGATGGTAGAACACCATCTTAAGCATAGATGTTTGCAAGATTTTTAAAAAAATTATAGGGAATGATAATTGAAATTGTTGGATTACCTCACAAATGAATTTTAAGGGTATTAATGGAGACGGTGACATTTTTCACTGGAGAACTTATAACCTCTCAAAATCATTTGAAGAATCCTACTCTTTGATTCGCTTTTACTTGCAACGGTAATTCCAAATCTCTCCAGCTGCAGTTGTCTTTGACAGTTTTTCCAACAGTCTTGCTGGGATACGTCACTTAATGCATGACGAAATGAAGTCATTTACGACTTTGCTTATTTTAATGTTTTGCCAGAAGTTGCCATTTTCTCTTTTCTTTCTTCACTTTTTAGGCTGTTTTAGAGAAATGTTCATGCTGAGTATTCCATCCTAAACTGCAGTTTTTAAGCTAGTGTTTGTTGATTTTTTAAAGCTTCTTGGTTTGGTAGATGGTTGCCTGGGGCTTGCAAAACCAAAAAGCAGACCGGAAAAGGTCGATTTCCCGTTAAGATAAATCTTAAGTTTTTACGTAGCCAAAGCTCCTTCAAAAGCTTGTAATTTTATAACCCATAAATTTAAAAAAGCAGTTTCTGACTGTCTTCAAAGTCCGACCTTGCTTCAGGATGTC